TCTCAGAGTTGTTTTGATTTGCATTTCTCTGATGGATAAAGATGTTGAACACTTTCTTATGTGCCTTTCATCCATTTTAGATTCCTCTATTGAGAATTGTCTATTTAGTTCTGTTGCCCACTTTTTAGTTGGATTGCCTGGTGTTTTGGAGACTAGCTTCTTGAGTTCTTTGTATATTTTGAAGATCAACCCTCTGTCAGATGTGGGGTTGGTGAATATCTTTTCCCAGTCTGTAGGTTGCCGTTTTGTCTAGCTGACTGTGTCCATTGTCTTCCAGAAGCTTCTCAGTTTCAGGAGGTCCCATTGATCAATTGTTGATCTCAGTGTCTGTGCTACTGGTGTAATGTTCAGGAAGCAGTCTTCTGTACCAATTAATTCAAGGGTATTTCCTACTTTGTCTTCTAATAGGTTCAATGTGGCTGGATTTATGTTGAGGTCTTTGATCTATTTGGACTTAAGTTTTGTGCATGGCAATAGACATGGATCTATCTGCAGTCTTCTACATTCCAGCATTCAGTTATGCCAGCATCATTTGTTCAAGATGCTTTCTTTATTCCATTGTATAAATAGCTTCTTTGTCAAAAATCAGGTGTCCGTAGGTGTGTGGATTAATATCGGTGTTTTCAACTCTATTCCATTGGTCTACCTGTCTATATTTGTGCCAATACCAAGCTGTTTTCAGGACTACAGCTCTGTAATAGAGCTTGAAGTCAGGGATGGAGGTTCCTCCAGAAGTGCTTTTATTGTACAGTGTTGTTTTGGCTATCCTGGGTCTTTTGTTTTTCCACATAAAGTTGAGAAGTATTTTTTCAAGGTCTGTGAAGAGTTGTGTTGGGATTTTGATGGGGATTGCATTGAATCTGTAGATGTCTTTTGGCAAGATTGCCATTTTTGCTATGTTAATCCTACCTATCCAAGAGCATGGGAAATCATTCCATTTTCTGGTATCTTCTTTAATTTCTTTCTTTAGAGACTCAAAATTCTTATGGTACAGGTCTTTCACATTTTGGTTAGTGTTACCCCAAGGTATTTTATGGTGTTTGTGGCAATTGTAAAGGGTGATGTTTCTCTGATTTCTTTCTCCATGAATGTGTCATCAGTAGGTAGTAGGTAGTATGTAGTTTACAGATTTTTTGTTGTTGTTGTTGTTAATCTTGTATCCTGCCACTTTGCTGAAGCTGTTTATCAGCTGTAGGAGTTCCCTGGGAAAGTTTTTCAGGTTACTTATGTAGATTATCATATCATTTACAAATAGTGAAATTTGACTTTTTCCTTTCCAATTTGTATCCCCTTGATCTCCTTTTGTTGTCTTATTGCTCTAGCTAGAACTTCAAGGACAATATTGAAGAGCTATGGAGAGAGTGGACAGTCTTGTTCCTGATTTTAGAGGAATTGCATTGATTTTCTCTCCATTTAATTTGATGTTGGCTGTCACCTTGCTGTTTATTGCTTTTATTATGTTAATTATATGTTCCTGCTATCCCTGATCTCTTCAAGACCTTTATCATGAATGAGTGTTGGATTTTGTCAAAGACTTTTTCAGCATCCAGTGAGATGATCATGTGTTTTTTTCCCCTCAGTCTGTGTATATGGTGGATTACATTGATGGATTTTCATATGTTGAACTATCCTTCCATGCCTGAGTTGAAGCCTCCTTGATCATGGTGGAGGATTTCTCTGATGTATGCTTGGATTTTGATGTTTTTCAGTATTTTATTCAGTATTTTTGCATCAATGTTCATCAAGGTCTGTAGTTCTCTTTCTTAGTTGTGTCTTTGTGTGGCTTGGGTATCAAGGTTATTGAAGCCTTGTAAAGAGAGGTTGGCAATGACCCTTCTGCTTCTATTGTGTGGAATATTTTGAGGATAATTGGTATTAGCTGTTCCTTGAATTTCTGGTAGAATTCTGCACTGAAGCCATCTGGCTCTGGGCTTTTTTTTTTCTTGGTTGGGGGACTTTTGATGACTGCATCTATTCATTAGGGGTTATAGGTCTATTTAAGTTGCTTATCTGTTCTTGATTTAATTTTGGTAAGTGACATATGTCCAGAAAATTGTCTGTTTCCTTTAGATTTTCAAATTTTGAGGTTTACAGGTTTTCGAACTATATCCTGATGATTCTCTGGATTTCCCCTGTGTCTGTTGTTATGTCCCCCTTTTCATTCCTGATTTTATTAATTTGCATGTTCAGTCTCTGCTGTTTAGTAAGTTTGGATAAAGGTTTGTCTATCTTGTTGATTTTCTCGAAGAGCCAACTCTTCGTTATATTGATTCTTTGTATTGTTTTCTTTGAAATTGAGGTGTGTTTCTTTTTTTTCTTTTGAATTAGAAACAAGATTGAATTACATGATAATCCCAGTTCCCTTCTCCCTCCCTTCCGAGGCGTGTTTCTTGTATGCAGCAGAAGGAAGAATTCCATCTTCTTATCCATTCTGTTAATGTGTGTCTTTTTACAGGTGAGTTAAGACCATTAATATTGAAGGATATTAATGACCATTGATTGTTTATTCTTGTTTGTTTTAGATTTGGTGGTGGTGGTGGTGGTGAAATTATGTCTGGGTTCCATCTCTTTTTTCTTTTGGCTGTTGGTAAAGTGGGATTATCTATTGCCTATAATTTTCTGGTTGTAGTTAACTTCCTTTAGTTGTAGTTTTTCTTCCAGAACTTTCTGCAGGGCTGTATTGGTGGATATGTATTGTTTGAATCTGGTTTTGTCATGGAATATCTTGTTTTCTCCATGTATATTGATTGAAGGCTTTGCTGAGTATAGTAGTCTAGGCTGGCATCTGTGGTCCCTTATTGTAGATAGAATATCCAGGTCCTTCTGGCTTTCAGAGTTTCCATGGAAAAGTCAAGGTGTAATTCTGGTAGTTTTGTCTTTATATGTTACTTGACCTTTTTCCTTTGCTGCTCTTAATATTTTCTCTTTATTCTGTATGTTTGTGGTTTTGATTATTATGTGGCAAGGAGACCCCTTGAAGTCTATTTGATGTTCTTTAGGCTTCTTGTATTTTCATTGGCATGTCTTTTTTTAAGGTTGGGAAAGTTTTCTTCTATGATTTTGTTGAATATATTTTCTGCACCTTTGAGTTGGCTTTCTTCACCTTCTTCTATACCTATTATTCTTAGGCTTGGGCTTTTCATGGTATCCCATATTTCCTGGATATTTTGTATTTGGGATTTGTTGGACTTAAGATTTTCTTTGGTTGACGAGTCTATTTCTCCTAGTGTCTTCAACTCCTGAGATTCTGTTTTCCATCTCTTGTATTGTGTTGGTTATGCTTGCATCTGTAGTTCCTGATTGTCTACCCAGCTTTTCTATTTCCAGCATTCCCTCAGATTGTCCTTTCTTTATTGTCTCTATTTCAGTTTTTAGGTCTTGAACTGTTTCCTTGAAAGATTTGTTGATATTTTGTAATTTTTGGTTTGTTTTTTTTCTTCCATTTCTTTAAGGGATTTTCTCATATCCTTTTTGCGGCCCTCTATCATTTTCATAAATACGTTTTTAAGATCATTCTCTTCTGCTTCATCTGCATTGTTATGCTCAGGTCTTGCTGGTGTATGGTCCCTAGTCTCTGGTGGTCTCATATTGGTTTTTCTGTTGTTGAATGTGCTTTTATATTGTCTTCTTCCCATCCTTTCTTCTGGTGGGTGTAGCAGGAGTCCCTTCCTTTCCTGGTGGGTATGGGATCAAAGTTCCCTTATGGTAGATGCAAACAGTTCCAATATTCTGATGTCTGTCCTCTTCTCATGGATGGTGGTAGTGGGACTGTTATCAGGGCCTTGGCAGTCTTTGGGTATGTTGGCTACCGCCGAGTTCGGATCCCAGGAGTAGACCGGAGTCAGGTGTCCCTGAGAAGATCAACAGAACCTGAACAGGAAACAGCCCCTGGCCTACCTGGGCTGGTGGATGGAGGTAGGACTGTTACTGGGGCCTTGGCAGTCTCTGGGTGTGATGGATCCCGCTGAGTTTGAATTCCCTGAGCAGACCCCTGGCATCAGGTGTCTCCAAGCAGGGCCACCGACTTTTTAGGTTTAAAGAGAAATCAGGCACTAGGGAAATGTCCGGAGATCTACAAAGATGACACCAACTAACAATCTAAGCAACAGAGGAGAGGCTACCTTAAATGCCCTCCCCTGATAATGAGATTGATGACTGTCTTATATGCCATCATATAGCCTTCATCCAGCAGCTGGTGGGAAGTAGAAGCAGACACCCACAACTAATCACAGAACTGAACTGGAATCCAGCTGCAGAGAAGGAGGAGTGATGAGCAAAGGTGTCTAGACCAGGCTGGTGAAACCCACAGGAACAGCTGACCTGAACAAAGGGAAGCTCTTGGTCCCCAGACTGATAGCTGAGAAACTAGCACGGGACTGATCCAGACCCCAGGAATGTGGGTGTCAGTGAGGAGACCTCGGAATCTATGGGACCTGCTGTAGTAGTTCAGTACTTATCCCTAGCATAGATGTGGATTTGGGGATACTCCATTCCACATAGAGGGATACTCCTGGAGCCAAGACACACGAAGGAGGGCCTATGCCCTATCCCAAAGGATATGATAGACTCTGATGACCCCCTATGGAAGGCCTCACCTTTCCTGGGGAGCAGAAAGGGTATGTAATAGGTAGGGTTTTAGTTAGTGTGGTGGTAGGGGAGGAGGGGAGGAAGATGGAACTGGGATTGACATGTAAAGTAATCTTGTTTCTAATTCAAATTTTTTTAAAAAGTGTTTCATCATCCCCACAGTGGTTGCACACACCTTTAACCTCTTATGGGATTGTGGGATCAAGGCCAGCCTGGTCTACAAAGAGAGACCTGGGCAGCAGGGGATACACAGAGAAACCCTGTCTCAGAAAAGAAAAGGAAAGAAAAGAAAAGAAACGAAAAGGAAATAAAAAAAATCATGTTTTACCAGTTCAAAAATGTGGTACTTTTCATGTAAGTTCTTCTTGACCTTGTTTTTGTTTGTTTGTTTCTTTGATTGTTTGTTTGTTTAGATGAGAAGAAGAACCATTTTGCTTGTTCTAGTGAAGAGGTCCATACAGACAAGAACTTATTCAAGTTGTTTCTTTCCACTGACAGTCTGGTAAAGTCCACTAACTGTATGTATTATAGGCCCTTGTTCCCTTTTAAAACAAGGTATAAATGCGTTGGCACTGCAGTCTCTCCAGTGCCTTCCGCTGTCCAGACAGGAAGGTGAGATTCAGTGGAATTATGTCTGTAGTTGGATAAGATAGTGTATTTCATTTATCACTGAGCATCCTGGGTAGCCATGCTCTGTGAGTGTTATTAATAAATGATGCCTAACTCTCTTTTCCAGACCAGCTGCAACAATCTTCATCTGACATGGAACCAATTTTTTCTTTTGAAGTTTGACAGAAGTAGCCTGTCACAGAAACATACTTCACATGATCTTAAGAAAGAAATGGTCCTTGTGTAACAAGGAACATGCTTCACATGATCTTAAGAAAGAAATGGTCCTTGTATAACAAGGGCCATGTTGCACTTGTCATTTTGTGTAAGGGATGGTATGATCTTTCCATTCAAGTGACAGGAGATTTTTATGCAATCAAAAAACAGAATAAAATAAAAGACAATATTAAGATGGTCATGGGCTAAGGCCATGTATAATGGCTCAGTGATAGAGTTCTTGCCTATGTGCTCAAAGCCTTGGGTTCAAAACACACACACACACACACACACACACACACACACTTGAAAATCCATGTAGCAATTGCCAGCAAAACAGATGTTAATAAAAAACATACAGACTCACAGATTATCTAAAAAAATAAATGACAAACACATAAAAACACGGAATATCATTCCACAAAGAGACATAATTAATCCCTATGTCTCCTTTAACTTAGTCCCCAATTCCTGTTTGATATAACAAATATACACTTGATTTAAATTTTGGCTTTACAACTCTTGAGAAGCCTGTGCCATTTTTGTTTGTGATTTTGTGCTAGAGGAAAGGGAAGTAGACTTACAAGACTGGCATCAACTCTTGGGTCTGCTGTTTATGGCTGCATGCCCTGACACAGGTTCCTTAACACCTTGGTTTTAGTGTTTTTGTTTTAAAAATGTATTTGTAGAATTATTTATTTATGTTGTTTGTAAAGATGTTTTTCTACATCTCCATATATGCACTGCATAGATGCACACATATGTGCATGCCTGGTGCCCATGCAGGCCAGAAGAGAGCATTGAATCTTTTGGAGTTAAGTGAGTTGTTAGCCACAATGTGGGATCTAGGAATTAAACAGAAGTCCTGTGGAAGAGCAACAAGGCTCTTAACCACTGATCCATCTCTTGTTTCCATTTTTAGTTTTAAAATTAACATTCTGGCCATGTTTTGCCTAGTTATAGTGAAGTACATGTCACCTTGGCATTGTTTTAAATTATTACTGACATTTTTAGTGTTTGTATGTACAATTGAATCTTCTGTGTTTGTTATGCAACTTAATTTTCATGCATGGCCTTTTTGAGTGAAATCTTTTGCCCTGATGACTCTGTTAAAAATAAGACTTCCCAGACCAGACTGGTAAGATGTCTGGTAAGTAAAAACAGTTGCCACTAAGCCTGATGACCTGAGTCTGATCAATAGGTCCCACATAGTAGACAGAACTGATGGCCACATACTATCCTCGACCTTCATATGCATGTTGTGGCATAGTTGCTCATGCATGCATACACATACACACACACACACACACACACACACACACACACACACACACACGTAATATTTTTAAATCAGACTTCCCTAATGCCTCTGTTCCACCCCCCCTTCACTGTTTTATTCTATCTCCATCCATCTACAAATTTATCCACTACTCCAACCATTAATTTCTCCTGACAAACCCCACTAGACTGTAAATTTTACAGTGGCAGGGATTTTGTTAGTTTTATTCACTTCCATATCCCAAACACCTTCCATTCTGCCCAACTCACAGTAGGTATTTTTAATGTTGTTGTCAAGGCCTCTTCCTTTATTTTCATTACTTTGGTGGTATCAGGGTCTATCACTTAGCTCAAAACAGCCTGGCATTGAGTACTCTTCTGCCTTGGGCTTTGAGTGGTAGAATTACAGGTGTGTTATCTCTGAATTCTTTCCCCATTTTTAAGGTAGAAAACCTGAAACTTAGGGAACTTCTAAAGTGTTCTTTTCAATTAAGATTCACTTTTATTTTATTTTCTGTGCATCTCCTATTTTCACTGTGTGTATATCTGTGTATCATGTACATGACTGGTGTTCAGAGAGGTCAGAAGAGGTTGTTAGATCCCCATAACTGTAAGTTACAAACTGTAGTGGACCATCATGGGTGTCATGTGAATGGAGCCCAGGTTAAGTGCTCTTAACCACTAAGCCATCTCACTAGTCCCAGACTAAGTATTTGTAATTAGTAGGAGAGCCAAGGGATTAATCTCAGTGTCTGTCTCAGCTTTTTAGTAAAAATCAGCATTCCTGATGTGACATTTCCACCTCCCCTTTTAAAATATTTTATTAATATTTTTATTAACTCTTTGGGAATTTCATATTATGCATCCCAACTCCACTTATTTCTCACTTTCTCAGAATCTGCTCTTTACCTTTGTAGTGCCTCCCAAGGTAAACTAAAAAAGAAATAAGATAAAAATAATAATAAATAAATGACATAAATACACAAAACAAATAAAATAAATAATGAAAATAAGAATATTAATTTTAAAACAAAGAAAACCACCCCCTTCAAAAAAAATCCCTTCTTGGTTCCTTCATCTTTGCCACTCTCCATCAACTCTTCATTTGTCCTGGTGGCCTTGGTACAGGCTGTGTATCATGCAGCAAATGTTAATTGTGTAATGTATTGTCGGTCAGGCTTAAGGCCTCTACTGAACCCTCAGTGAAACTCCTCTCAGATATCCTTCAGTTGCCCGAGTCATGGAGATCCTCCAGCTATGTTTCCATAGAACCAGTCCCTTCCCATGCTCCAGCAGATCATACATGGGGTAATGTTGGGGAGTGTCCACTCAAAGCCCTAGATGTGTCTAGGTGGTAAGTGGGTGTTCTGACTGGGCACCAGGACCACCCCCGTCAGGTTAGGTAGGGCTGGTGCTAGCTCTTTCCCACATCTGGTCGAGGGTGGGATCAACTTTCCCAAGTATGTGTATTGGGGGGAAATGGGGAATATGCTCTCCTTTTAGGGGTCGGGCCAGCTTTCCCATGCCAGGGTAATCAAGGTCCCTTATCCCAGGGCCAGTGAGGGGTGTTGCCAGCTCAGCAGAGCCTGGTACTTTAACACATGCTTTAGTACATGGCTTGAAAGGGCCCCTATGGTAACACAGACAACAGACATCAGCATAGACCCCAGTTGCAGGAGGGCCACCAGACATGCCAGGAGAAGCAGCTTGGGACTGGATGTCTCCATGGCCCCGGATAGCAGTGCAGGCCTCTCACATTGACATGGGCCAGTCAGCAACATGGCCCCATGTGTCAACTCAGACAACAGGCAGTCTCACGGCCTTCAGTGGTGACAGGAGCCACAGACCTCAACACAGACCCTGGCTGCAGTAGGGCCACAGACCCTACTGCATGTCCCTTGCCACAACTTGGGCCCAGACAGCAACCTGGTCCCTGGTGGCAGCATAGAACACCCCATTCTGTATGGTTCTAGTGGCAGCATCACCTTCAGGCTCCTGCATAGCCCCAGATGTTGGCCCAGACCTGGGACATCTGAACTGCCTTGGTGGTAACCGGAAATATGGTCTTCAATGCAGACCCAGGTTGCAGTAGACCCACGGACCCAGACTTGGCCCCCAGCAGCAGTTTAGGCCCAAATGACACCCCATGGTGATTGGTGTCAGAGCAGGCCACTCAGGTCAGCATGGCCCAGGCAGCAGCACAGCCCTCAGACCCCAACATGGCCGTAGGTGGCAACCCAGAAGCCGGGCATCCTTGTGGCCTTTGATGACAGTATAGGTCATGGACATCAACACAAACCCCAGCTGCTGTAGGATCATGAAGCTAGATACGTTCTTAGGCAACATACTGGGCCTGGAGGTCACCATGGCCCTGGGTGGCTGCACAAGTCACTCAGATCTGCATCAACCTGGCTGCAAGGTGACCCTCGGACAACAAAACAGCCCCTTGTTGGGGCTCATACTCTGGGCATCCACATGACCTTTGATGTAACAGGCACTGAAGATATGAACCTTTGCTATGGTAGGTCACAGACCCAACATGACCCTAGCCTGTATCCATAGCTTCAGGTGGTAGCTCACACCACATAGATTGGGATGGCCCTTGCTGTGGCATAGCCCTTTGGACACCAATGTGGCTTTATGTGGAGGTGTCCCAGACCTTGGGCCTCCCCAGAGCCTTTGGTGGTAGCAGGTGTCATGGATATCAACACAGACTGTGGCTGTTCCAGGGCCATGACCCCAGACATAGCCTTTGAGAGCAATCCAAGACACAACATCAACATAGCCCCGGGTGGCAAGCAGACCTCCCACAGTAAGCATTCACCTTGTCAGATCTGTCTCTCACCACAGCACAGGAACCATTCATGGTGCTCGCCTGCCTGCCTGGCTCAGCAGGCACTGGGCTGGCCCATAGTTATTTCCCTGCCTAGGACAAATGACCCTAGGGGTGTGTGTGTGTGTGTGTGTGTGTGTGTGTGTGTCTGTCTGTCTGTCTGTCTGTCTGTCTGTCTGTCTGTCTGTTGTCTGTGTCTATCTCTCCCTGCTCAGTCCTAATGGCAGCTCTCAGGCCTGTGGTTTCTTCTCCCTGCCCAGGGCAAACAGCCCTGAGAAGACATGATTGTGTCCATCTCTGCCTGCTTCCCACATCCTTTTTAAAACTGGGAAGTGGACAATAAATTTAAAACCCTTTTAATTTAATCACAAACCATCCATTTTAGTAAAATCATATTTTCTACATGTGAGACTAGTTGGTTTTCATTTTATGATCATGAGAAATGTAAACTTCCCATTTTTGTGGATGAAAACAGTCTCATAAGGATGGATTGGAAAACCTTACGACACTAAATAGGTTACTGAGTTCTGAGGACATGCTTGTATGGTTTTCCTCATTGGTGATGGTCATCATTAAAGAGAGAAATGTTTTTCAACAATTATTTTCACACTTATTCTCACTAATAAATTAATGTAATATGCTCCTCCATATTAAATTCTCACTACTTGTTATATTTTTTCTTTCCTAAAGAAAGTCTACTGTTTCTTCCGAAATCAAAAAACAGATACTTCAAGGGAAATTTTGAGTGTATTTACATCAGGAGGCCATGCTCCCAAGCTGATAATCATGAACAGCACATACCACGGTCATTTCCACTTTAACTTATCTCTGGTAATTATGCTTTGTTTTACACTATGGTATGTTACCGAGAAGAAGGATGCTCTTCATATGGGATGACTTTTTACAAGTGGGGAATTCAGTAATCTCTCTACAATGTTTGAAATCCAATAATACATTTTGTAGAATATTCCTTTACACTGTGTGAAAATATGTAACTGTGACTAGCTTAATAAAAAGTAAACAGCCGAGAGCCAGGTAGGATTTGGGAGGGGGCAGAGAGAATGCTGTGAAGAAGAAAGGTGGAGGAGCAGGGAGACACCAGGGACACAGAGCAAGCACCATAGGCTTCACAAAGTAAAAGTAACCTAGTAACATAAAAGACCATAGATCAAAAAATAGGCATAAATTTAAATTATAAAACCTAGTTGGAAACAACCCTAATCTGTAGGTGGAAATTCATAATTAACAAGTCTCCCTATGGTTAGTTGGGAACTTCTAGGTGGGACAGAAAATTCTGCCTACAAATAATATATAAGTAGTTAATATAGAAGTCATTTAGTTTGAAGTACTCAGAAGACATTAAAAAATAATGATGATGATGGTGGTGAAGGTTATGAAAGTGATGATGATGGTGATGATGATGATGATGATAAGCTACGTTATCCAGGCATAATGGCACTTGCCTATAATTCTAGCACTCAGGAGGTAGATGCATGAGGATTGCTGTACATTCAAGGCCATCCTGGAATACACTGCAAAAACCTTTCTCTGCACCACCTTTAAAAACTTAATCACTTAAAGATGCATCTAAGCAGTTAATTATCTCTATTGCTTCTGTAGATCTGACATCATTTCCTTTAGCTTCAATTTCTTCCAACATTTGTCAGTGGCAGTCAAATGTCAGTGAACTGGAGTTGATCCCCACTATCTGTAAAGCTGTACATTCATTTTAAACAAACATATCAAGATGAATTCACATTCAATTCAACTCACCTACTCAAAGTACATGCTTCATTGGTTTTTAGTGCATTCAGAGTTGTGCAGGCTCACTAGTAAACAATTCCAGAACATTTCCTCATCTTGAAAGAAAACATGAAGTCATTAACAGTCACTCCCCATTCTCCTTCCCGATTCTCCAGCCCTGAGCAAACACTCCTGTGCTCCTGCTCTCTCTCCCTCTCCATAAACTTTCTAATTCTTCAAGCCCATAGAAACAAGATACAATACATAGTATTGGTAGCTGCCTCCTTCAGTTTTCATAATGTGCTCAAGCTCCATACATAGCAAGGGAAATGTCAATGCTTTGTTCTTTTTATGGGCAAGTAATACTCTACTGTAGACATTGCACATTTAGTCTCTCCATCAGAAGATGAATATTGGACTTGTGTCTATCTGATGCTCTAATAAGTGATGCTACTGTGTGTATGGTTCTTTTTGTGGAAATAGGTTTTCATTGATTTGGAGTACATAGCCAGGAATGGAATGGTTTGGGTTACAGGGTGAGGAACTGCTGTTTTTTTTTTTTTTTTAAGTGGTAGAACTCTTTTTTTTCCTACCCCTGACTACTCGGTCACATTTTTCTACATCCTGACAAATGGTTATGATAATCTCCTAGTATATAAAAAATGTTACCTCATCATTTTTTGATTTGCATGTCTTAATGCTTCCTATCTCTCCTTGTGCTTATTGGTCACTTGAATATCTTCTTAGGAGAAATGGCTATTCTGATTCCTTTACCACTGTTAATGGGATTTTTATGTTTTCATAGATGATTTATACATTTTGTTTATATATCTAGGTATGGGTTGCTTATAAGATATATAATTTGCAAATATTTATTCTACTGTTTATATTTTCACATCCTCCAATACATGTAAGTTTTTTTTTCCTTTGGGGGATTTTTCAGTTTTGTTACTTGTGCATTTTGTGACATGTGTAGAAAAATCGTTGCCTGATCAAAGATCTTACAGGGTTGCCCCTATCTTTGTTCCAGCTATTTGTACTTTTCACTGTATTTCTGTATTTTGAACAACTTTGTCATCCATTTTTTTTACACTACAGTACATAAGAGTCATTTATAGAATTGCTAGGATTAATTTATGTAGCAGTTAAAAATGAAAACAATTGGAGGGGGTGGTAAAACATTTAAAATACAGACAGTCAGGACAGGAATGATCCCAGCTCAGTTCCTGAGGTGTGGTGAAGGAGTTGAGCCAGGCTCGATATGGACCAGGTTTCTCCTTCAAGCTGAGACAGCCTCAAGAGAGGAAGGCCTCAGCCTCACGTCTGTGAGCAGACAGCATTGGGTGATCACAAAGAAAGAGCTGTATTGACTTGGGGATTGGCTCCTGAAGTGTCCTGGGTCTTCTGTAGGTGGCTTCCATTCTGCAGAAGAGAATAATGGTCCTGGGTGTTGGTCTGAAGACAAAGGGCCAACACTCAACGAAGACCATCTTTGTTACATAATACTGTGTCCCTTTTTCTCAATAGCAAGAAAACAAAACCCCAGGGAAGTCATTAGAAAACCATCCTCTACCCTGCTGTACCTTGGAAGTGTCTGCTAGGGTGGATGGGAAGAGCTGAGCTGACTACACTCTCAGCGGCTCTCTTCTGTGGTAGGAGAGCAGCCAGAAAAGAAGCTGCTGTTGTTGGCCAGAGCTCATTTCTTCTTCCTTGTGGCCTTATTTTCCTGGGATTCTGTTGCTCTGTGTTTTATGTCTGGGGGGTCTAAGGAAACTGCAAGAGCAGTCTTCCTTAACAGAACCTGATCCATATCACATGTCTCTTTTAGGGTCTTGGTATTGGGAGTGGCACAGACAGGG